AATCAAGCCTAGAGAATGCTTAGAGAGTACGCTCGAGAGAGATGCTGTCTTCGCACTCGTGAGCGGTCGCTTTCCGCCACCCCCGGTGAATTAAAGGGTATATCAGAAGCAGTGCACTATTCTGATCACAGCCTATAAGGGTAATCGCTCAAAAAAGAATCTAGTTAGTAAGACGAGTTGCTCTTGTGCAGTTCTCTATCAATATTGGATTTGTGCCAAACCGCATTTGAATGCTTCTTTACGCGAGCGCTTTAAGCTTACCCTTTTGCAAGCTAGGCTGTTTCCGGAATTTTAGCTCCATTTATTGTTCAAGTCTGCAAATGCTGAACAAGATTAGAATGAATTTTTTGATTCTATGATGAAATGTGATCATATTCTGGGTTTTTAAATGTTTGAAAACACAACGAGAGAGTATAATTATCTGTTGCCTTTCAACCCTGCCCTCTCCGTCCCTCCCTTTCTCCGTCCCCCTCCGCCCCCTCTGCTCCTTTTCCTCCCTCTCTAAGAAACATTTGCAGCCATTGTATCTATTACATCCGGATCTATACATCTGCCGCAGCGTCTACTTCACTTCAAATCAATAGCCTTATAAGCGATTATTTCCACGAGTCTTACCTTGTGCTTCCAGCAATGTTATACAATAGTGTTCGCGATAACATCCGCTTATTAGTACCAGGAACAGCTTGCTGTCTTTGCTCTATAAGCTTCCAGCCCGGTGGAAGACCAGGCACCGAAATCTTTAAGATTTTTCTTAGCAAAACCATAATTCTGACGTTATTGAGCTTACTCCCGTGAAATTCGCAGTGTTTTGCGCTTCCTTTTTGGCCTCTTCATAACTTTTAGGTGGACCTATTCTGTCACATTTCGGCTCGCCCAAAGTACCGCACGGCTGGATGCAATAATTGAGCAGAAAATAAATTGAAGGTGACTTACAGTCTCTCTGTAGAAAACTGAACTTCCTGTAGAAAAATGAACGCCTAAACACTGCGATTTGATATTGTTTCTTACGACAACTTCTCCAATCTTCAGATTTTCTTTCTGGTCCGTAATACATCCTCAATAGAATCATATATCAAAGAAAGTATTCTCATCAAGATTAAGAAGCTATGGTATCATACCTTCAATTGTATACACGCCATATTTCCGGCATTTATATCGCAAGTTTCCAACAATAAAATCCTCGCCCTCTTTGTATGTTTTTCCAAGTTTTGTGCATTCCTGTAAAAATTTCAGACACAATTATTGGGGCCATTCTCAAAGAAATTGATCCAGAAAAATTCGACTTTTCTCAACTACACAAGTAGTTGACCATGATCATAAAACATCCTCACAGCATATCGAACTCACCTTAGGTAAGGCGTCTAGCGTACTTCCAATGTCCGAGAAATTTTGCACAAGATGAACAAAGGCGGACTTCATGTCCACTTCATCCGCGCCATCCGCAGCGAAAACAATTGTGGTGATCACCAAGATCAGGAGGATCGACCACAACATCTATAAATAGCTGCTGGCTGAACCAAAGCTCTGGAAGAAGCCACGGAATAGTGTTGCCCTACAAGAGAGGAGTTATACAAGTAAAAACAAGTTCCAATTTCGAAGTTTATGTTATGAAGACGCTCTCATTGGCAACCACAGCTATCAATCCTCCCCGTGTTTACGCATTGGAAACAACAGAAGGAAACTTGTTTTTCTTTACAATGTTATTTCACAGTGACCAACAGGGGGCTACCCTGCTATATTCATAAGTCAAGATTCTCGACGGTTTTATCAGAATTAATACGTCGCAGGCCGT